CCTTCCCATTTGCTTAACATTTTTTTTTTCTTAAACGTTATTCTTCCTACAAATTAACTTTTCTTTGCTTGAATTCTGGTACATTTCCCTACCTCTCTCTAGTCCTTAATGTTGCTCTCTCTCCTGGTGCTTGCCTCCTGCCCTCAGCACTGTATGTCTTCATTATGGGACACTGGGTGTCTCTGAAAACATACTACATGCCTTGCCTCAAATTTCCTTCCTGCTTTATCTAGCTGAGGAAAACCTACTTACCCTGTAAGCTTTAATCCAGATGTTTCTTTTCTTGGTAGATCTCCCCTTCCTGTCTCAGTGCCCTTTTGCCATGTGACTCTGAAGTTCCTCTTACCAAGAGGTGGAGTCTACTTCTACATCAGGGCTGGTCTTATGGCTGCTTTGACATATATAATGCAGTGGAAGTGACTGTTCTGAGCCTCAGCCTCAGGAAGTCTTACACACTTTCATTCACTCTCCAACCCGCCTCGGCCACCATAGGAATAAGCCCAGGCTAGCCACTGAAGAACTGAATTGATTCAGCTACATTCACTCAGTTACCAGGTGTGTGAGGGAAAGTCTCTTAGTCTAGCCAGTCCCCAGCCAATGTTAGCTGAACGCAGATCAATGAGTGAACCCACTTCAAACCAGCTAAACCTGGCCCACATCAGAAGAACTTTTTAACTCACCCACAGACTTGGCAGCAATAATACATACTTGTGTTCAGCCACTAAGTCGTGGGACTACTCGTTACACAGAAACAACTGATACCTTCTTTCTTCATCCTACTTAATAGCAGTAACACACTTCCATAAGGCTCTTATTACATGCCATGTTTTCTGGTCTTTCTCTTCCGGATCTCCTTGAGAACATGGGCAATTTTTTGGTATTCCCAAATCTAAATGGTTCCTGCCAACTTCCAAATAAACGGGTATCTGAAAAATAATTAATTAGTTAATTAAGGACTACAGCAATGCCTGAGAGGTGGTTTTGGAGGCAAATCAGAATCTGAATCCTGGCTCTATTTCCTGTATGTATTACTCCTGAGAATTTGGTTACCTTGCTCAACCTTATCTGCTCATCTATACATGGAAGACCATAAAAAATATATATGCTGCAGGATTATGGTGATAAAATACCTATTTCCCCTCCCCTCCACCTGATAGTAAGTGACAACTCTCTGTTCAACAAATGAGAATTAAATGATAAAATGTAATGCATTTATTATAGCGCATGGCTTCAAGTATTACAGTATTTGATAAATGACAGTTCTACTAATATGATCATGAGCATCCCTGTTGTCACTTCTTAGAGCAGTAACTCTCAGTACTCCATCATACCCTCTTGACTTCATCTGTGCATGCTGATCTAATGGCCACTTCCAATGGCAAACACCTGGGGTTCTTTGCCTGAAGATTCCTCTGGTTGCTGGAGTCCTCTTGGTCCACATCTATGGCAGGCCACAGATGCCAGGGAATTAACATCCTTCACTTCTATCCAGGGGAGCAGTCTTCCATCAAGGCAGATGGGGAAAGGTGGCTGATTGCCTTGTCCTTGGTTAGGATAAATCCAAGTTTATATTCTATATTGCAGCCCAGAATTGCCCAATGGGATCATACTCCTCTTGGTCACAGTAATAATAAGGTATTTTTCTGTTTTCTTTCTCTTCCCCACCCCACAACCTCATTTCCCTATAAAGGTATACTGCCATCACTTTCCAATAAACACCAGTATCCAAACTTTTTGTCTCACTATTTATTCCAGAGAAATCAACCTAAATCAACTACTAATCTTTCTGTTTTATTGTATCCTTATTGCTTCTGCATACAGTTACTTGTTCAGGAACTTTGATTCCATTTGGAAGCCTAGCCTTGTAAAGATGTCTCCAACTAATCAAAGAGTTGTATCTGATCCAGTGGATGACAAGACCAATCACAGAATGTGGTATACTACCTTTAGGTTTTCTTGGATATTTTCATCATGGTTCCATTCTCTGAGTACATCAGGATGGGGTTAACTTACAATCGATCTTGGGTAGTTCCATGCTTATGCCAAAGGGCATGTGGAACCATGGTATTGATTCCTGGCCAAGATAGAAGTGACATGTAATAGCTAGTGATTTATAACATGAAGTTAGAAGTCTGAAACTCACCCCAAGGCATACTGTACCAGCCTGTCCATGCTGCTTATGGAAACTGACGGACTGATGGTTTACACCTGTTGACCTGTTCACAAAGCCTGCTTTTAACTCCCTGGGCCGTGGGTTATAAAATCTCCTAGGTAAGCCTGATACTTGGCTTCCCTGAGACCATGGTGTCACACGTGTATCTTGGTGGTTCATGATCTGAAGATGAAGGGCATCAAGTGTGATGTAGAAAAGGCCCTGAGAGCCACACCTAGAAGTCTTGGTCCCCTCCAAGGCTTGCTGTGCTTGCTTTCTTCTGCTGTACCCTTTCCTTTGTTTTATTAGAGCTGTATATGTGTAATCTACCCGGCCTGTCTTCTGACAATAAAAGGCTTTTGAGAAGGGTTTGTGGGTAAAGAAAGGAAGGGTTCTCACAGCACCCAATTTTAAAACCCTTCCAGAAAGTGGTAAGTACTGGAAAGCAGTGCTGTGTACCTTGCTGAAGCTCTTAAAACACAGTTTGACTGAATTATCACAAAAAGTCTTCCGAACCCAGGGTGTGAGGTTGGTCTATGCTCTAACAGTGGCTGCTGGCTTCTTGAAATCTTGGACCTGCCTGGCAAGGTCAATGCACAATTCTTTACCCTCTCTTCCCCTCCTCTGTGGCTTTGTACATGCTCACTTGGGTCAAGACATTAAGCCCTCACCTACAGAGAGCTTTCGATTCTCTGGCAAACATTGCTCAAATTCTCATATTCTTGTCTTCTTGGAACATCAATTTTAAGGTGTATTTTAGTTATTGCTTCAGTGTTCCAACTAGGAGGAATCCAGTATGAAGTTCTAGTCTTGAAGTCATGCTTGAGGGACTTAAGCCACCAGTCCTTAAAAAACGCATAGGTTTCTTATCTAGAAGGGCACCTGTCATATGGGTAACCTCTCTGTGATGGGAGTAACAATGTTCTCAGATGTCAGGAACCCTGCTGGAACCAGAGAGAAGTTGCACAAGAATCTGGAAGGGTCATGTCTCCAAATGTTAGGAGATGACCTGTCTAGAAAACCTGAGCTTTCAGAACGGAAATTTCTTTCTTTTTCACTACCTGACATCAACCTCCTCTGAGTTTCAGAACCAGGCTACAAACAAACATATCCTAAGCTACTTTTTGAAACTATAATACAAAAAGTAACACTGGATGAGTGTATATTAAAATACAAAAGAACAGCATATCCTTCATATGGAACTTAGAGTTACGTCTGGGGATTCATAGCACTGGTGGTCATCTAGTTTAATCTACCTGAAGCAGACCCCAAATATATTTTAAATCCATTTATCCCCAATGTCATGTCCCTAAGCCAATTATCTCTTGCCTAGGCAATGGCACTCTGTTTTCCACTATTACAGAGCCCCTATCCCTTTGCTAAACATACCAGAAAGGCCTTTTTAAACTACAAAATAAACTCACTCCCTTGCTAATAACTCTCCAATAACTTCTATCTTCATTGGAGAAAAATCCAGATACTTTTCTTTGTCTGAAAGGGGCTCCAACTTCATCTCCTACACAATGCTTCTCCAAATCCCCTCTCCAAGCAATGCAGATCTGCTTCCCAAGCCTTGAAAGTATCTGTCTAGATCCTGATTTATGGCACACGCCAAGGTTTTATCTCAGCTGGGTCTTTTCCATCATCCAAGTCTCAAGCCAAGATTCTCTGAGTGATCTTCTCTGATACCCAAACTAAAGTAGCCTTTCAGTCACGCTGCATCTTTTTACCTTGTTTACTGTGTTTGCAAACTCTATTAACAGCTACCAGTTTCCTATGCACATATTGACTTATTTCCTCCAGCCAGAATGTCAATTCCTTCAGGGCCATACCCTTGCCTTCTCTGTTTACTACTGCATCCCTAAGGTCTAGAATGGTTTGCTAACATGGAGAAGCCACCCAATGAATAGATGTTTAATAAATGTTCTCTGCTTTTTTACTATTACATAGTTTTTACTTTCTTTAGTATATGTGCTGCCGAAGTGAGCACAGTTTTTACTTTCTTTAAAAGATTTTATTTATTTGAGAGAGTGAGTGAGAGTGAGTGGGCAGGGTTGGGGGAGAGGGAGAGGGACAAGCAGACACTCCTCTGAGCAGGGAGCCCAATGCAGACCTCGCCCAGATCCCAGGACCCTGGGATCATGACCTGAGCCAAAGACAGATGCTTAGCTGACTGAGCCACCCAGGCACTACTACATATTTTTTATTGTGATATACTTGACATATATCATTTGTCTGAGTTGTACAACCTGATTTGGTATTTTTATATACTGCAAAATGACCACCACACTAAGTTGTTAACATCCAGCATCTCACATGTTAATTTTGTGTGTGTGTGTGTGTGTGTGTGTGTGTGTGTGTGTGTGTGTGAAGAGAACTTTTAAGATCTATTCTCTTAGCAACTTTCAAATACACAATACAATATTGGTTAACTACGGTCACTGTGTTGCACATTACATCCCCATGACTTATTTTACAACTGGAAGTTTGTATCTTTTGGTCACCTTGACCATTCCACTGATTCCCCATCCTCCAACCCACCTCTAGCCACCTATAATGTACTTTTTGTAACTTTTAGCTCAGATTAAAAAAAAAAATTTTTGTGTTAACTGATTCCACAAATAAGTGAGTTCATACGGTATTTGTCTTTCTCCATGTGTGACTTATTTCACTTGGCATAACGCTCTCAAGGTCCATCTCTGTTGCCTCAAATGACAAGTCTCCCCCTTTTATGGCTGAATAGTATTCCACTGTGTGTGTGTGCATGTGTGCAAGTGTGTGTGTGTCTGTGTGCATTATAGAAAATAAAATTTAAAAAAGCAAAACTGTAACATAATTCATTCCCTACCTTTTTTTGATGGCTGTGGATGAATCAGACTCCAGAGGAGTTTGGCTATTTCTGTCCTGCAACTTTTTGTCGGAGTTCTTCAGTGCTCTTCATTTTTCTTCAGTGTTCATTTTGGCAAGAGGTGGAAGCATTTTGCCACAGTATATTTCTGTAACAACATGGTAGCAACATGCGTCAGAAACCCACCAACATTATGCTCCGTTTAAAAATAAACAACCTCACTTACTTCACATTCCTCTACATGCTGCACATCCTTTCTCTACTGTTTCAGTCATTCCTGCAGGCATGCAGCTCCTGACCTGTTATTACCTGGATCCCCCCAGCCATGTTAGGCTCCCCAAGCACCTTGCCTGCATCTCTCATAGCACTGTCCCACCCTGGTCCGCTGTGAGTCCAACTTTTCAATAAGGAGTGAGCCTATGGAGGCAGGAACTGTGCCCTTGGTTCCTGATTCTCTGGGGCCAAGACCACCTCTAGAAATTCATACAGTCAATTCCCATCATTTGCAGTAGTCACATTCTAGACAGTAGCCACAAACACCAAATTAGCGAATGCTGAACCCATAACCTTGTTTTAGAGTTTTATGTGTGTTTCTTTATGTGTGTTTCTGTTTAAAGACACATCATATATATGATGTGTGTATGTGTGTGTGTATATATTTGATTCATTAACTTTCAACTTAGCCAATAACACCAGAACTCACACCTGAATAAAGATTGCCAAGGACATGAATTTTTTCCACAAGGCACTTCACACTGAGAAATACGAAACAGAACCTCAGCACTCTGCTCGGGGACCATTTCAAACAGCAAAACCACCAGCAAAACCACAGAAATGCAAACACACATGAGATGGTGATTTTGCACATACAAAATCCATGAATCATGAAGATTGCCTCTCTATACATTGGCTGTAGATCTGTAAGTTCCTAGCCTTGCTTGTGGTCCAGCACAGCACTGCCATTTAAATGAGCAAATAGACAAATCCTATCAACTGGGTAGGAAGGGACTAAATACAGATTTCATATGCTTCATGAAAGATCTAAATTTAAAAGCAGTTATTCTCTATCTTATTAAAAGGACAAATCTCAGGTCCTAGTTCTTTTCTCTTTCCTGATATTAATCATTGCTCATCCAATTTTCCGACAAGTTCAAAGAAAATGTCCCTGAAAATAATTATAGGTTGACAGTCTACCCTATCCATTATGGGACAATCCAAACCGTTTCCAGAAGACAGCTCCATTTTTATCCTTGAATAATAAGAAATACCTGCTTTTATTTCATTACATGCATCAGTTAACTGTAGGTACACAGTATACATACTTAGTACACTTGTATTTTCTGTAAAAATGCCAGTACTTTATGACATAATAAGTGGAGGTATCACACTTTAAGTATCTACTTTTCTGTACCTTAAAAAAGTGTTTAAGTCTTCTTAATGGACAGAGATTTATGTTTTAAAGCTGTTGTAAGGATCTTCCCATTAAGTTTACTTCTTAATATTTTAAAACTGGTTAAATTTAAATTTGATTTATTTGTATTTCATGGGAGGTAATTTGCAGATAAAATCGTCATCTTAAAAGCATGCCTTATGTTTCCAACTACCATTGCTAAAATCAGAACTTGCTAAAAATGCATGTCTTGGATAGGTAACAGGAAATCTTAGATGGTTCTGAAAGCCCAGTTTCTTGTATGCTTCTGTTGTTTTAACAGGTTTTTAATTGAGTTCAAAATCAGCTAAAACATAAGTAGACATAACTTTGTTTTAAAGTCTTGTGAGATTCTCTTCATATATTTCAGAGTAGCAGAAGATAAGTCACCTTGTCAGGAAATGCAATTTCATGACTGACACAGCCATATGGGTCTCTCACATAACAATAATTCAATATATTTTATAACAGAAATAACTTGATCCAGAAAAGTAAAACAAAATAAATACATCTTATTTTTACACTTTATTAGTACTATCATAATACATTTTCTATACAATTACCCAATATTTTTGTTTTAAATTTTAAACTTTAAGTTTATTTTATAATTAGCTTTGTTTTTAGTTGTCTATTATACAAATAACCAAATTAATTTTTAAAATTGGATGTCATAAATTTAATGTGCTTAATTAAATCATCACTAAAACTCTCCTCTCAATTTTTTGTCTTTAAACATGCCGCTTAGAAACCTTTATCTATATATCTCCCTAAAGCCATATTACCACTGTTGACCTAGAAAAAGCAATCTGAAGTCTCAGTTGACTATATTCAGTTAACAGCTACACTACTCTGAACCTGATAATATACATGAGGTACGTTATGAGGTACTGATGCCAATTAAATTTACTATTTCCAGGGCACCTGGGTGGCTCAGTTGCTTAAGCGACTGCCTTTGGCTCAGGTCATGATCCTGGAGTCCTGGGACCGAGTCCCACATCAGGCTCCCTGCTTGGCGGGAAGTCTGCTTCTCCCTCTGACCTTCCCCCTTCTCATATTCTCTCTCTCTCATTCTCTCTCTCTCAAATAAATAAATAAAATCTTTTAAAAAAATAAATAAATTTACTATTTCCAACCTTCAAGAGGAAGGGGTTGACTCTGAAACCAATAGACTTGGCTTCAACTTGTAGTAGCTGCACAGTTAGGGCCGATTTGTCATTCCTCAAGTTTATCCATTCATCTGAAAAGTGGGGATGGACACAATTTTCCATAATACAGAGGGGTTCTCAAGATAAAGTGAAAATGTCCTATGTAAAGTACCTGGCCAATAGTGAAGAGTAAAGAATGTTAGTTCTGGTTTTTACTAAGTATAAAACCAACCCAAGAAGCATTTCAGACAACAGAATATAGCTCTTAAAACCAAAAATCAGTGACCTGTCACCTGTGAATAATCTGTAAAATATAACAAAAAACCCAAGAAACAAAACAAAACAAACCCAAGTTCTAGTTTACCCATACTTTTTCCTCCCAGCAAAATAAGCATCTCTTTATGTGTGTCTGTTATAGAGATGGACCCAAAGAAGTGTAACTTTTTTACCCACAAGTCTATGCCATTTTGTACATTTCATTTTCAGAGATTCCTAGATTCATTTCACTGACTCAATATGGCCTCTCCATATTGGGTTCCTTGACCATGAGCTCAAACAAAAAAACTCTGCTCCAAATGGCACCTGACTCAGAGATAGAGGTATTATTGGGCTCCTGGCCAATTACTGGAAAAAAAAAAAAAATCTAAGTTTCTATCTTATGTAAACTAGAACAAAGTTTTGCCATCAATTATATTAGTACAAATGTTCCTATTCCCTGCACACTTGTTTTTCCCTCTCATTCAAGAAAGAGAGCACTTCTGCAGATCATTTTGATAAGGAAAATCTGTGTTCTAAGATGGCCGACTGAGTCAGCAAAGGAGTCCAGCCCCTTCCCTGGGGTTCTTCTGATTTCTTCTCACTACTCTGTTTCCTACACACACCAAAAGTACCAAGTAATTAAACTTCTAAACCTCCAAGGTCTCCAAGAGCCACTTGGTTCTTCCATCAGGACCCAGTCCAGGTTCTGTAACAATTTCAGGTGGTTTAGACCCAGAACAAAATGAGACCCCTCAGCCCTGCAATCCTAGAATGTCTGTTGCATTATTCACCCTTTTCTCTGATAATTTCTCCTTGTACCCAGAAATTTAAATATGAGTGGCAGGTCTGATATGTGGCCATATGTGGTCATATGACTCTTATGTTAAAAAAACAAGACTTTGTTTTCATTCTCTTAAAGAGAATAGACTATGACCTTGTCCTCATTAAATAGTGAGTTCTGAGCAAATAAAGTCCAAGGGATTATGAAATCATGAAAGATGCTAAATACCATCAGGTCAAAATCTTACAACAAAGCTGAGACATTGGGATAAGAGGAGAGAAATAAATTGGAAGGTGTGGAGAAAACCTGTAATTTATTTTTTAACCTTTTTTTTTTTTTTTTTTTTTTTTTTTGATATTATAACATCTTTCTAAAACCAAATTAATATGGATCATCGTTCTTGAAAATTTATCTTCATCACTGTGTCATTTGATAATAGCTTTTTCTTTGTGTATACTTGATAACGGGGATAATTCTATACTTTCAACTAGATGTAGCACTGCTCATCTAATAGGAGAACTCTTAGATACACAAAAGGGTTTCATTGCCAGGTTTGACAGTATAAAAGCCAAGGGAAAAACAAGCTGGCAGAGACAGTTTAATATAAACCTCTTCTGAGGACTTGCAAACAACATCACATTTGTTTTCTGCTACTCATCTGCCCCTCTGTGATCTCTGTCTCTCTATATAATAAAATATTCATAGCCAGAGCTCAGCAGTCCTTCCTCTCTCTTCACTGTTGGAATAAGGTGTGTTCTGCTCCCTGGGAGCAAAGAACAAATAGAAACACTAAAACTCTGAATACATAACTTTGGGGGAGAAGAAAACCTCATCTACGGAAAAACAGATTTTCTTGCATTCAAACCAAGATAACTGTGACATATGGAACTGCATTTTTTTTTCAGTAATTACTTATGCACTTGTCAAGTGCACTGAATCCTCTCTAGGGAAACTTCTAGGGAGTTTACGGAACTGTTCCTCTCTTTGGATTTCCTCTAATATGAATTGTGCACTATTTTGTTTTTCTTTTCAGGGAATAATGAAGCTCGACTTTCTAAAACCAATCTCATCTTTTCCTACAGGAAATTATCCAGTTTGAAAGTCTGGCCTCTATCTATGCAACATTTCCCCAGAGACAATGGGAGGATTGTGCTTTTTAGGGCTGAACTGTAGGTACTATTCTCATGTTAATCCTCCTTTCATCTGCAAGACCAGTTTGCGTGTTGGCTTTTATTTTAAGGAGTAACCATTCTTTTTTTTTTTTTTTTTTAATTTTTATTTATTTTAATTTCTTTTCAGTGTTCCAGAATTCATCGTTTATGCACCACACCCAATGCTCCATGCAATACGTGCCCTCCATAATACCCACCACCAGGATCAACCATTCTTTACGCTAACAACCAATTAAGTTTGGATATATTGGATATATTGGTTTTCTAGTTGAATAGAAAAGGTACTTTGACTTTTTATTTGGAAAATGCCCCCAAGTTCTAGTCCCACGAATGATTACTTGCTTTTCAAACTTGATTGACTAA